CCTTATTGTGGTGTCATCTTTGCACTTACAAGTGGTATCAGAGCGGGGCACCTAAGTTACCGGTGTAATCCTGAAGGTGAAGATGGACACGATTGTTACGATGCAGAAGGCAATCATGTTGAATGTGGACCAGTATGGTCATTGGAAGGCTCGCATGAAGCAGATGATTCGAGGAATCAATGAAGATGCGTGGACAGCTGTGGAGATTGGTTGGGAGGAGCCCACCATAGTCACAGGAGATGAGAAGAAGCCTAAGCCAAAAGAAGATTGGTCAGAGGCAGAGCGCAATGCATCAAAATTTAATGCAAAAGCGTTATCGGTGATTTTTGGAGCTGTTGAAGCAGAACAGTTTCAGCTGATTCAGGGGAGTACTTCAGCTAAAGAGGCGTGGGAGATCCTGCTGAATTCGTTTGAGGGAGATGAGAGTGTCAAGAGGACACGTCTAGATCATCTTGGGTCGCAGTTTGAGAATCTCAGATGGTCGGATGCTGATTCTGTGGCGAGCTTTAGTGCCAAACTCAGTGCTATGGCGCATGAAGCATTTGTACTTGGGAAGAAGTACAAGGAGAAGAAGCTGGTAAAGAAGTTACTACGCTGTCTTCCAAAGAAGTTTGAAGCTCACAAGGCAGTCTTGCAGATGACTACCAACACGGATGAGCTCAAGTTTGATAAGCTTGTGGGTATGCTCAAGGCACAAGAGATGGAGACAGATAGTAGTTCAGTCTCTACGTCAAGCAGTGCGCCAGGGAGTATAGCGCTTGCAGCTGACAAAGATGGTGATAGATTCCAGAAGCTTGAAGATACTGTGGGTATGTTGGCTAGGAATTTTGGGAGGAAGATTCATTCTGGTGGCAGAAATTAGTATGATCGTCAAGGAGGTGATCGTGGCAATGGTAGAAGAAGAGACTTTATCAAGTGCTACGAGTGTGAAGGATTTGGTCATGTGAAGGCTGACTGTCCTATGGCACAACGAAAGGAACTTAAGTGTTCTGAGTGCAGAGGTGTTGGAGTGTGCTCCGCACTTACAGGTTTGAGTTTCTTCCCTTTTCCTTGACAGTCGTCTGATGATTCAGAGTCTGAAGAAGATGACAAGGTGTTGAAGAACATGGTTGCATTTGGTGCACGCAAGAAGGGATCTAGTGAATCCACTGATTCAGATCGCAGTACAGATGATGAGGAGTATCATGTGCTGCTCAACAAGTGATTGAGGGTCAAGGATCAGAATCGGAGATTGGAGAATGTGGCTCAGAAGCAAAACGAGTTGCTTGAAGAACTTCGTGAAGAACTTGCGGCTGTAGAAGAGAAGAATGAGTCTCTTGAAGAGGAAGTTAGCAAACTGAGAAGAGTTGCTACTGGTGAACAAGAGAGAGCAAGGAAGCTGGAACGTGATTTGGCTGAGAATCACAAACAGATCAGAATGCTCAATAGTGGATCCAAGGAGTTGGATAAGATACTCTCAATGGGACAACCAGCCAAGGCAA